TAATAGTAATAGTAATAATAATAGTGATAATAGTAGTAGTAGCAGCAGCAGCAGCAGTAGTAGTAGTAGTAGTAGTAGTAGTGGTAGCAATAGTAATAGCAATAGTAATAGTAATAGTAATAGTAATAGTAATAGTAATAGTAATAGTAGTAGTAATAGTAATAGTAATAGTAATAGTCATAATCATAGTAATAATAATAGTAATAGTAATAGTAATAGTAATAGTAATAGTAATAGTAATAGTAATAGTAATAGTAATAGTAATAGTAATAGTAATAGTAATAATAAGAATAGTAGTAGTAGCAGCAGTAGTAGTAGTAGCAGCAGGCGTAGTAGTAGTAGTAGTAGTAGTAGTAGTAGTAGTCATAATAGCGGGCAAATAGGCTAACACAACAACTTTCGCAGAAAAATAATTTTCTTTAGCAGACCCATCGCGGAACTTTCGCGATGGCATGTTATGTTATGCCAGTGATCGTTTTGTATAAATACAGCCGCAAGGACCTTTAGATCAATGCCCACATGCATGCATGCATGCATGCATGCATGCATGCATGCATACATATGTGCGTACGTAAATACGTACGTACATACATACCTACATACCTACATACACATAGATACATAGATACATACATACATACATACATACATACATACACACCTACGTACCTGCGTACGTATGTCGGGGGATTTACAGTCCCCATTATTATTCATAGCCCGTTGTTGCCAGGAGAGTTGTATTCTTCTTGCCCAGGCCTCCCAAGTGATCTGTCCATCAGATCGTAGAATGATGAACTTGAATTCGCAGCCAAGGAAAGCCTCTCCATGAAAGAAGATAGAGCTTGTGGTGCTTATGAAACCTCTCCACAGTACCAAGCCAACATCACAATACACATGGCGCAGCTTAGTTCCCTGCTGCCGGTATCGGGGCAGCCTGAGAATCATCAAGTCACGTTCCCATTCATGTTTCGTGACATGTTGAGAGAATGTAAAACGTGCTGGCTGCACACCATGCCACTTCTAGCCGGTCGAAAAGTAAGCACATGACCCAGATTGGAAAAGTGGCGGCTGATGTTTCAAGTCGGATTGCTTTGCCTCGGCTGCCAAATCATAATAACGGCAATGGAGTAGGTTTGCTGCATGTCGGGTGCAGCCGGCTTGAGCAATACGCGTGCGGCCGTTGCGTCGAGCTGGCGCTTCTGCTGGCAAGACTCTGGGGTTCCAATCCCCAAGTTCGGGGCTGCCCCCAACAACAGCGAGCCTCAGCCCGTCTCTCTACTCCCGCATCTGTGCAGTCTTTGCTTGAGCACCGAGAGATCGTCTTGCTGCGACTGCATCGTGGTGCTCTAGACTCTAAGCCCCTGGCTGATCCCCTACACCAGTGGAGCCACATTCTACTTCTACACGGTAAGCCATGACACCGAGAAGCCTGCAGTCGAGCATGGCAGTAACATATCATCTTTCAAATCGCGTGGATCAATCAGTCTCACTGCAGCTGAAAGGTACGTCTGGCCTCCTTCTCTGACGTGACAAAGCTCTCGTGGATGGCTTGAACCAGCATGGGCAGGTGCTGGAAGACTCGTCAGCAGAACATGAGCAGGCCCTATCAATCAAGTGCTGCCTGCATGCTCGCTTGATGTCCGGGGAACCCAGCTCCTAGACTTCCTAGACGGTAAAGGCAGAAGCTTAAAAGCTGAGTGTAACGCATTTCAGCTATGCGCCACTGCCTGGCTAGGTGGCCTGTCGAGGCGCGGCAGCACACATAGACGGACACGCAGCAGGCGTGAGTGGCTGCACGGAGCCTTGTAGCACGTACAACCTCAGATTGTGCTGACATAGTCTGGGCAAGGTACCGATGGGCCACCACCAGTCACCCCGTATCTATTTCTGTCGCTGCTTTGCTCGGCATTCTGCCCGCCGACCGAACTTGGAACTGCTGAAACCATGACGATTTCAACGATGGTGGTGGTGGCAGTGACTAGTCTATGTGCTCAGCTGACAGGGTGGATGCCCGCATGTCTGCCGAGACACTCTCGTGCGATTGGATAACACAGGTTCCCCATGCTGTTGTGTTGGGTTTAGGACGCACTCTTGGAGACATGTAGAAGGTTGATTGGCGATTGCCCAGCTGTCAAGTAACAAACCCGGACTTCCTGCCAATTGCTCAGGCGAGCCGACGACGGGTGCTGACATGTACAAACGGGTCTACGGCATGGCTGCCAGCACGGGACTTACACCCAGATAGTTGGGACTTCGCCAAACATCCTGACCCGCGGCTTGCAGCATTCGTCCGCTGTTCTGTGACCAACACCACGTTTCAAATTCGTCGCATGCCTTTTGCTTGCGGGCGTTCCTCTTCCCTCATATGGTGTGATAGGGCGAATCGTAGGCCATAGCTACGCATATCTACACATCTACGCTTCGTCGGGATGTCACTTAATTGGTGCTGATGCTTCTGGCAGTGCAACGAATGCGGCAGGGCTGCGAAGAAGTACAACAAGCGAGAACTCGAGTGTTTGGATGAGCAGATCGTATGGAATTCAAATCCTCGTGGTTTCCGCTTGTGTGGGCCAAAGGAGAGACAACCGCGCTGGCAAATACTCAATCACCGTTGCCAGTCGAGCTGCCCAATTCCCAGGGCACTGAAGATGCAGAGACGATTCCTCAGACACCACTGGAACCCCGGTTGGTCATGCACAAGATGCCTGTAACAAAAACGAATTCACCAAGAACCTGTCCAAGGCGACGCGAAGAACTGGAAAACGCCCTGGTTCAAGCGTATATGGCAGCTGGCAGCTCCAGTGGCATGGAGTCATTCCGTTGCCTCCAGGAACGTCACCGGCTCTCGAGGGGGTGGGGGCGGGCTCGGTGGCGCAGGATGAGGAGCCACCGTGTGCTGCTCCACCTTCGCCTTCAAAGTTTTAATGTCGAAGGGGCCAGGTTGACTTGACAGGCAAAGTTTTTATTCTAGTGCAGCTTCCAGCCTGGGCATTGTTGTTGATGATGAACTGCATCGGTCTAGCCTTACACTGCATCCAGCGATGCAGCCTTCTCGCCACCTAGCACTGCTTCCTCAAAAACCGGGGATGTGGCGGCAGTGTCTTGCATCGCAGAGAAGGCAGCAGACCTGGCCCAAACAGAGAAGTCCAAACTACCTCTGGCATCAATCGACCATAACGAGCCCAGTGCACATCTCCTCTCTGATGACATCGCGGAACTGCCCCCAAGGAGCCACCTGAGGCGTTGGAAAGCGCGGCTCGTGGAGCCCAGGGCGGTGGCGGCACCCGACGGGCACCCGACGGAGGAACGCTCGTCGGCTCTCCGCTCCGTGACCTGCGCCGCGACTGGCGCAGTAGGAGCGGCCTGCGGCAGCGAAGCGACGGAGGGACGAAAGGCAGCCGGTCCTTCATTCATCTCCTGGCCTCCTCTCGTTGCTGAAGTGCCAGGCTGTCTGCAAACCGCTGCATTGTAGGCAGCCGCCTAATTCAACTCATGGCATCCCCGAATCCTCGACGATGGAAACCATGGAAGCTTGCACTTGCTGCGGTCTGAGCTTCGCCCCCAGAGGGCCACTGTACATGGTATCCGGACCTGGTGCTACCTGCAACGCAGGCTTCGGCTGGCAACACGCAGTGCTCGCCCTCCTTGCGCCCCGCCTGGGTAGCGGCCTCCTTCCTCTCATCCCATAGCTACGAACAAAAGGCTTTAAGCGCACGCGGTGCGATTAAGCAGCTTTACTGCCCTCCACGATCAGTCGATTGCTGACACGTTGTGAAGAGCACACAGCAAAGCTTTCTCACATCAGCCACAGCTGCCAAAGTTCATGCCAGCTTGCCAGCAGCAACTGGCCAGCAAGCGAAGCGTGTGCTATTACTTAGAAACAAACAGGAGCAACTGAGCAACTGCAGTCAAACTGCCAACCTGGGCTACTACTGCATCCTTGCCCTCTGTGGATGCCTGGTCTGTTGCTGGCCTGCCAGAGGCATGAAGGGAACATGGAAACAAATCAACGATGCAATGCGTCGCGCACTTCTGCGCTGCTGAATTAGAGCTAGTGAAGCAGTATCTACTGTCATGTATAGTGTCATGCCAAGGAGATTCCTGAGACTTTGGTTGGTTAAGGCTAGCGAAACTGAGTCAGCTACCTAGTTGTTTGCCTAGGATTCATCACGGATCTTCCTCTCTGTAAGTCTCTGGGAGTCTCCAAATTCCCGCAATGGCAGGATTGTCCTGCAAAGATGCTCGGGCATGCAGCTGGCTTCCACTTCAGGCTCACGGCCACGGTAAGCCCAAGTTCGGCAACTTTTTGAACGGCCATCCGCTTGGTTGATCGGCGTGACAGCTCAATCTTCCAGCTCACAGAATGATTCGCTCCTCGCGCTGGAGGACCTGGGAAGCTACGACTCGACGGAAATCGCAGGACTGAGCTTTCTTACAGGTGGAAGTGAAAGGAGCAGTGAACGCTAAAGCTCGATGCTCTCGTTTTCCTCTGCGACTAAGGCTGCAGCCCAACACTGCTTGTAGTGCCGCCTGGTGACCTCAGCGACCCCTCCAGAACACCAATAGTCGAATGGAGAACAACTGCTGAAGCTCGGTCAGTAGCAGGAGGCCTCTAGGTTTCCGACGCTGACAGATCGAGACCTTCCCAGCCGAGCAGTAGAGTAAACCTCAAGCAACTCAAGGGTGAGCTCCCAGAATCCACTTGAGAAGAGGGCCACCGAAGCTGGAGCAAAAAAGCGTAGCAGGGAAAGGGTGGGGCGACTCGTCGAGCGAATCTATTGCACAAGATGTTCTTTTTTTTGTTCTTTCACTTGGCATGTTTGGGCCGGCACATGCCAACCAGCTTTCTGCCTCCTAGTGGGTCAAGGGCACAATGTGTGCTACGTGACAGTTCTGTGCTCATTGCTGTCGAGGCATACCACTGTGACTACCAATAACCTGGTCTGGTGCCTTGCTGCTACACCTACTAAAGTAATCGGTAAACGACAACTCCTGCAAACTCCAAAGGGCTAGGTTTCCTGATCGATGTCCAACATGTCAGCGATCCATATGGTTCCTCTAGAAGCAGATTTCCGAGTCAGCGGCTGGACATGACGGCGACAAGGCGATGCCCGGAATCGGCATCACAGGCATCGTGGCCTGCAGTAAGTGGAGACAGGCTCGGGAACTGCAAGAGACACTGAGACCCGCACTCGGGTAGCCAGAACCGGGCTGCAGGTTCCATCAGAAGCAAATCGCGTGACCTTCAATGCACTTTAATGAATTGAGCACCCATGAGCACAAGCATGAAGCACAGATCCGCAAGTGCGAGCACGAGCACCCGCGTCCGCACGGCAGGGCTCCACATCGGAGACACGGGACAGGATGGAGACCAGGCTGTCTTGGCGGGAAATGGCACTCTACTTCGCTGGGCAAGGCTTCAAGGGCCGAGCCGGAGATGTCGCCACGGGGCTCTGAGCCCGACCATCCAAGCTTACGACCTTTGGAGTACGGCCTAACTCTGACACCTTTCCTCCCGGCTTGTCGCTTGGGCACCAACTCTCGAGACTGGGCTGCTGGTCACGGTCTTGATGCTTTGGCAGGTCTGTGGCTGAGATCATTCCATGCAGGCTGCTCCCAACGCGGTCCTCACCTCTGTCGGCGTACATGCTGTACTCGCCGACATGCACGTATCCTGAGGCACGACAGGGACTTCGTGCGCTCCAGCAACGGCTACCACAGATGTTTTTCTGCGCTAGAGGCAGCAGCGGGGGCATGGCCGCTGGGTTGCTGGCATTCATGTTGCGAGCAACAGGCTCAGAGGGTGAAGAAGGCAAAGGCATCCACCTCAGCTTCGGCTTCGGCGTGGGTCCTGAGACGATGCACCAGCTTCTGCCTCGAGCTCGACTTGGGTTTTGCGGGCGCTGGCGCATCACCTCGAGTGCTTTCAAGAATTGGCGTGGCTTTCCCAAAGAATTGCTTACTGTTCGAGACTTGCAAGCCACGCCGCATGGAGATGACTGCGCATTCCCCCCCGCAGGCATGGCATCGTGTTCTGTGGCAGCCTTATTTGTTGGAAAGCAAAGGCATCCTTTCACTATCTGTGTTCTGCACTCTTTTTTTGGCTTGTGGAAAGGTCCGCAAAACCGTGCAACATGCCTTATCGTCCCTATTCCTTTGTGAGATCAATCAATGACAGGAGCGACCTCCTTTCACGAGTTGGCTTATTGGCATTTAGGTATGCCCTCTCCGAGGGCTCGTTCATGGAGCCTCAATATCGACACATGAGAGTAGCATTCTCCTCTTGCCAAGGGTCTTGGAGCATTTGCTGGCTAACAGCCAGCAAGCTCTTCCGCGCCTCCGCAATCAGCACCTCATGGCTAATCGGCACCTCCGTATGCATTTCCAATAACTTCCAATGTCTCTCGCGCAGAAGTCGAAAGGAAACGGGCCTCAGGGAAGTCCTTCTCCTGCGCCAAGCTTACCAAATCGTAGCCTTGGTTTCTCAGTGAGAGCGAAGCTCTGAATCAATGCTCAAAGCGTGGGTCGGAAAATCCACAACTCTTAGTCTTTCACCAGCCTGTGCCTCATGAGGACACTCATTCTTCATCCGAACAATTTCAAGAAACCCTAAAATGGCAACCCAAGCAATGAATTTCAATGATCTAGGGCATCCAGGCAGCAGAGTTGGCGCAAAGACTCGTTTTCGTGACGGGCTGTGGCAAGAGCTTCGTCAAGAGACTCCATCGGGTGTCCCTCTGATACAGGGTCGCCTCGCAAAGCTGACAGCTGCACTTACCCAAGCATGCTGCTACCGCTGGCAGGGTCGATGCACCTTCAGGTACGGGCGCAATGGTCAGGCTGTTGCAGGAGCCAAAGCCATCCTCTGCTGAGTTGGGACAGCAAGCCAAATCGTTGTGTGTGCTCCAGTTGGGCTTCACATGCCTTGATGCCCCTGCATTCTCTGCTTCCTGGTCTCATCTTCTGTGCAAACGATTACCAGTCAATGCGCACACACACACACACACACGCGCGCACGCACGCTGAAGACAAAAAGACTGATCACTGCCGTCACCAGAACCACCAAAGCGGCACCTGCCACCTCGGTTACTGCCAACTGAAACGGTTAAATCAAGCAGAAGACAGCAACAGCAGCAACAGCAAGCAGCAGCAACAAAGACACAGGGAGGCGCACAACGGAATTCGGCAACTAGGTTAGAGGAATCAGAGGTCCCCAAAGTCAACAACACTTCTGGAGCATGGTTATTAGCTGTGCTTCATGTCGGCGTCCGCTGCAGTCAACAGCTTCTGGCGACTTGTGCTTCACATATTCCTGTTTACATCGTTCGTCCAAGTTTAGATTTGGGTTGAAGCTTGAAGTGCGAGAGCGGGAACCAAAACACCACCCGACATCCTACAGTAGACCCTAGGCCACCTACTCTTCAAGAACGTTTGTTGGACTGCTTGTAGCGGAGACATGTTTGGTAAAACATCAGGGCATCAGGGCGAAGAGAGACATGAACCACGGCAGCAACGGCAGCGATGACGACAATCACGACGACAACGACAACCACCACCATCATCACAACTAGAGCAGCCACAACCACAACAACAGCCAAGCAAAAGCAAAAAGCAGAAGCAATAAGAAGAAGAAGAAATATATAGGATGGTGTTTTGACATCAACAAAAACGTCCGACCAGCTCGGGCCTTGAACACCGGCCAAGTGCTTGGATCCAGTGATGCCAGACCCCAGGAATCTTTCGTGATCCGACTTGCCCTGGGAGTGTCCGATGGACCTGTCGCGGACATGCCTGGCAAGAAGCTGAGTCACAAAACGCGCTGCTACGGTGTAGCATAGATGAAGCAAGGTCGAGAGCGACTGGAAAGGCCCGGTGTTGCCTGGAGGGCCTTGCACCCCTTGAAGCTCTCTTGGCTCTAGGTGAATCTTCTCCATTGCCACAGGAGTCAACCTCGCAGCATCGATTTTGCTCGCAGTGCAGACAGTCCAATCTCGAGCTTGGTGCATCCGCGGTATCAAGTGCCAAGACGAGACCGAGCAGCGAAAGCGACAGTTGTGTCTGTGTAGTGGCATCCTTTCGTGCTGCACTTCGCGCCCTGTGGAGTGCTTGAGAAGGACTACTCTTGGCCTTGGCTTGTGCCAAACGTCGCAGAACTGACTTGGCTGCACGCCAGACATCGCCATATCCAGATGCAAGCAGATGCTGCTGCCGGGCTGCCTTCGGAACGTACCGACTCCCAGCAGATCGCCCTGAATCTCGAGAAGTTCGAATAGACACGCCACTGCCTCCAACAACAAATCATCGCACATACTGCTCCTATATTGCATTTAAGCTATGAGGGACCTGAGAAGAGCCAAGCCTTGTGCGCCCAAGTAGCGAGCATGTTGTGCCATGGCAAGACGCGACCCAGCTGAGAAAGGCGTGAGCTCCGAAGTTCGAGGTGCGGAGAGCGGATATGCCAGGCTCCCTGAAAAACTCTCCGAGCGGCGACAGTGACAGAGGCCACGAGAGAGCAGGGCATCTGGCTTTTCAGGCGCGGCGAGCAAGGCCAGGCGCGGGTACAGGTTTTTGATGCCAGAAGAGGCCTTGCAGAGAGAGCTGGCGCCTTCTCCGAGTCTGTGGAAACTTCAGTGTCACAGTGGGAAAGAGCCGTCTCGATGCATAGCCTACTTGCGGCATGACAAGCACCGTCATGTAACGGTGTGGCATGCTGTCCAACAGCCAAAACGATGCTCTACGGCCCCTCCCACGCTCGCTTCGCAGGTACTTCTCTTTGGTTGGCTTGGTTTCGCTAGGAGTGTGCGAGGGGTGAAACTCTGCCAAGCACTGGAGTGACAGCATGCGATGCAGAAACTCCGAGAAGCTGAGCACGGGCTTCGTTTGACATGTCTTTGCCATGCTGTCGTCTTGCACAGGCTGTGCGCACGAATTCTGCACGTGACCTGGATCCAGTTGGCAACTGATCAGCTCACAACTCAGATCCCCAAAGCTGCCCTTTGCGCAAGAGCCTGGCATGAATATGCACACTCGGACAAGGCTGCATCAGCAAAGCGCGCACACACACAGAGACATACATACATATACATATATATATATATTATGCATACACACACATCAACCTTCCCATGCATGCATGCGTGCATGCATGCAATACATACCTACACAAACACAATACAAAAGCTGAGACAGTTGAATTTGTCTGCCCAACGTTTTCCGACTTTCGCAGTGGAGATGTGGCTGCTTCCTCAAGCTGAACCTGCAACTGACCTGTTCCGGTCAAGGGGGGCTTCGTCACACAACATGTATTAATTACTCTGTACACATGATAAAATACAGGCGAGCATGAAGAAAATTCAAATGCTGGGTGGGTTATGTGTTTAGTGACAGGAAGTATCTACAACTGGCCTCAACGTTATAACATGTTCTATCGTTCCCTCCTTCTCCGAGCATGGTGCACATCGACGTTTGGCGATGTGCACACATAGTGCATATGTGACTAAAGGAGACGTGGGTTTCTCGGCAAAGCCATGCCGCTGCCTGGATCTCGCCGACAGCCTGCGAACATAATTGATACTGGCGCAGCGTTCTCGTCTCAAGGCGGCCTTTCGGCCAAGGGCGGCAATGTCAGGATCTCCCATCTTCATTGCATTGCCCACCTGCCGCCCCGCGCCGTCCCACCATGTTGACACTTCTACGGAGTTCTCGGCATAGCGTGGGTTGCCCAACTCAGCGCATCACGTCTTTTCCAACTTTGCAGGTCTTGACAGCATCGTAGGTCACCTTGCTCTCCTGCAGGGGGTTACCAAACGTGCTCTTGCCCAGATTCAGGATGTCTTGAGGTTCTGCAGCAGAGAAGCATGAGGCAGTCAAGTTCAGGCATCTACGGATTAAAGGCATTTGCTGGTCCTTGAACATTCCTAGTAGTGCCTCCAGGATCTCGCCGACTTTAGGCTTGTCACCTACAGGAAGCAGAGATCTTCCCACGGACATCTCTGCAATACTGATAGGCCAACGCCTGCAGTCACGGCTTGCTGCAAGTCCTTCTGCAGCTCCTCTCTTTCGGCCGCGGCAAACCACAAGATTTGCGCAAGGTGCAGTTCTGCAACAGCGTCTAGCTTGCGTCAACTTGAAACTCCCCTATAGAGCCAAGCGCGAATATCTGCACTCGGCACCTCTACCGTCCCTGCGCCCTGCTTGAGGGAGAGGTCGTTCTCAAGTCGATTGATCCTCGAGGGGCAAAACACATCAGACCCGGGACACGGATACAGGAAACGCGCTGTTCGGGGTCTTCGAATTGCAGGTGTGCTGCAGCTTTTCCACTGATGTCTGCAACTGTGTGGTTACACCTCATTCTACTGCTACACCAGTGCGCATAACTTTGGCGAATGGGACCTGGGCCTATCTGAGTAAAAGCTCGCCCCGACAAGAACGGCAACAACAGCATAGCAGCACAGAGTCTCTGCCCAACAGGACAGGATTTGAAGAGCGAGTGGTCGTGCGGCGACAAGCTTCTACTCGAGAGGCTCAGCCCTGCAACCAGAACAGATCTGGACCAGCGCGCTGCTGTAACAATCGACTTTGTAATCGCATCTACTTTGACACCTCCACCGCCTGAGCTCAGCCTTTGCCCCAAAAACGGAAGCTCCTGCAAAATTAAGCTCCGGGTGGAGTCTGGCTTAGCCGGAGATGTGCTGACATAATATGACATAATGCTCCTATTTCAGGTCCTTCCAGTGTGCCTCGAGAGTGCTTGTGCTTTCCTAGGCTCCTAGGCTAAGGCTGCACAACTTCGTCTGGCAAACATGCTGGTGTGCCAACACTGCATGCGGCTCATGGTCAACTCCGTTTTCGGGGCAGGCATGTGTGCTCACCACAAGTGGGATATGTGTTCTGAATTCTTGAACACACGCACAGTGTTGGTGTGCGGCAAGCAATCTCAACATTTCCAGCAGTTGTAGCAGGTACGGGTATGACCTGCAATCACTGCCAGCAGCCATGAGAAACTGAGATGCTCCGGCCAAAGCAATGAAACCGATCTTACATGAAAGTCTGGATGCATCCATGTTGGCCAGAGTTCAAACGAGCAAGCCGAATTCCAGCTGCTGCAGACCCAATTCTTCTGTGCTATGTCCTACATCGCTTGCTGAGGGCCTCCTGCACCAGCTTGAGTCCAGATATCTTCCGCATCGAAAACTCTTGGCACGGGGTTTTCTGGCCGAATGTCTTCCCAGATTTCTGTTCCCTTTTATTTTGCAAACCGCGTAAGTATCTTAGAATCTTAGAGGCATTCCGCCGCTTGACCCGGTGCCGAGGGGAACTCATAGGCTTCGGACACTGGTATCTTTAAGGTTTCAGCCGCTGGAATCTTTCTGCCTGCCATGGAACGGCATTTTGAGCGGAGAATGGAGGGGATGGATGACACTTCGGCCAAGTTGCCAGCGGCTCCAAAGGCCGGACACTCTGATCCGGCACCTGAGCCGAAAACACTGAGTTGATCAAAGAAATCAGCTCTCGAGTTTCTGGTTGCTTCCGTGGCGCTCAATGCAGCTTGTGCTGCATGAAGTGTGCGCTTTGGCTTTGACCCACTTTAAATCATTGTTGCTCCCGCCGCGGTGCCTGGAACAAGATGGCATTGGCTCACCCTTGGCCGGAAGCTTCTACCAGCAGCTGAGGTCGCGGCACAAGGCACGGTTGGCGAAGCTCAGTCGAAGTTCAAGGGATGCAGCCGATCGAACCGTTCCTACTTTATCTGATAACTGCATCTTCTGAAAAACGCATTTCTACTCCAGCACACTGGAATCAGCTGCACCCCGGAATTTTTGTTTTGCAGCTCCGGAGAAGTGGACACAAAGGCCCAGGAGTGTCCTCAACTGTGCTAAACTGCGAGACATCAAGCTGGCTCCGACTGTTAACGAGAGCTATCATGTTTGGGCGCCACAGTGCATTAAGTGATTGTGCCAGTGCAAGCAGGCAGCTAGCCGGTGCCGAGCGAGACCATCTAAGCCTCCATCACGAGCCTGCGGTCGCTAAGCAGACAGCAAGCAAGTACGTCTGCTGTCGCGCTACTGCCACGGCAGAATAGGCCAGGACAGGCGTGGAACGGTGAAGAACACCATGTTGACAGGCGACTTCTACCATCATCAATGCTGCTTGGTCGCGCAACGGCCCGCTGTTCACCATCCAACAAGTAAACTGAGAAGTGCACTAAACCGAGGAAACCGGAACATGTTGCTGGTTACGTAACCGCCAGAGGTCAGTATGCCGAGTGGCGAGGATGTTATGGATGCTGTCGCCTCAAGCTCCAGCAGATCGGTCACACTTGGTGCAAGGCCAGCCTCTCCCAGACGAGCCGGCGATCTCACTCCAAGCTAGGCCCGCGGCAACCATCAACTGCTGCTGAAACCGAAGCTGTAGCTGCAGATCCACCAGCCGCTGTTGCCTCTAATCATTCATGCAGTAGGCCCCTGTGTACGCCGGAGTTTCCGGTGCCAATTCTTCACACAGCAGACAAAGCCATAGCAGCCACAGGGCTGTTGCTCGATGATGTACTGCTGCTGCGTCAAGGCATCCGTGACGTTCCTGGAAATTCGGACAGCACTAGCATTAACTGTCACCATTACTAGATGGTTTAGCTTGAGCCCTGGCCGGCCTGACATCCTTGGGCGCAGAGCGAAACTTTCCTGCGTCCTGTGGCCAGGAGATGCCAGGAGCTCACATACCGACGCAGCATGTGATGTGGAAGGCGCGGTGGCAGGTTGCAGAGATGTTTACTGATGTTGACGTTTAGATGGGGGCAGAAAGTATGCGCATGCAATGCATGCATGCTTGTCGACAGACAGACATACATGCGTACGTGCGAACGTAGATACATGCGTACATATGTATGACACATGCGTACATACGTATGACGCATACATACATACGTATATACATACATACATTCTTGCGTACTGATATGTGTGCGTCCCTAGAATCCCCAGAACTGTCATTTGTCGTCAGGCATCTGGCGTTCCTGGCCCCCCCGTCCCTCCCCATGGCACGCGCGGAAAGGTGTCGTTTCTGCGCCGACAGTACAGGGTGGACGGGTTTGGAGCCGGAAAGCTTGTGACAGTTGTTTGTTGTTGGACCGCGGCCTTGCAAGACCGTATGAAACATGCCAATCGTCACATGCTAATGATGAGGATGACGAGGACAACGGCACCTCGAACGTGCCAACGTGGGTGGCTCCACCCAACACCCGCAGAGGGGAGAGAGTTCGTGAGCATACGTGTCTGCCTCTCTCTCTCTCAAGTTCTCTGTGTGTCTGTGAGTGAATCAGTGTTTGTGTCTCCGTACATGCGTACATGGCAGTCCTTCTTCTTGCGTCGGAGTTCTCCCTCTGGGCACAGGTGGCAGTGAAGGCATTCCCGTCCATTGAGGCAGCCCTTCTTCCAGAACCAAGCACAAGGCCTCGTTCACAGCGGCAGCCAGCTAGGAAATGCTATGTTAGCTGGTATGCCATGCCGGGAACAGACTCTCAAACGACTGGAAAACCCACGTCACATTGTCGCGCCGGAGGACCTGCACTCTCCTGACCCATGCTGCTGAGAGCCGACGGATGGCCAAGACTCCGTGTAACTCACCTGGGCGGGAGGCACTGCGGTGCGCAAAGCAATGCCGCAACGCAGGCGTCACAACTGAGCGAAGGTGCCTTCACAGGAGACCCGTCCATCGCTTGCAAGTCAGCCTGAGCTCGCGAAGGATGCAAAGTGCTGCTGTGCTTTCTCACCAGTCACTTGTAAGATCGAAGCCAGGCCAAGGTGAGGCAAATTACTAGACACTCGCACATGTCTCGTCTCGGGTTCGTATCGGGCAACGATGCATCGACAAAGTGGCAGTGTCCGGTTGGGATGCACAGGACAGCTTTTGGCCAGGCCCGCGAAGGACACTAGATATCTTGAGGATTCGGATGCCGTGGGACGCTCTCGCATGGGAGTCTAGTCATCGTATGACAGCGTTCGCGGCCTGCACACAACGGCCCTCCTTCATAGCCAAAATGATTCCCCTACTCAGCTGCTGCGACTGTGAAGCTTCCAACTTTGCAGTCGCAGCTTGCATGTCGGGCGTGTTTGTCCAAGGCATCGCTCCCATATCACCTCGTAGTCATAGCAGAAAACCGCATGACGCCACTGCATGACCGCTGAGGCTCGTGCCCAAATCCAAAGCTCCCGGAAGGAAGGTGTCCTTGAGGCGCACAAGGCATCGGTAATTCGTAGAGGCTGATGCAAAAGACCGCAAGTTAATCTTCGCGCCCGTGGAGCCTGCGACATTTGCTGAAGTCTCTCCTGTGCTGACTCCTCATACTCCTGAACGAGGCCACACGACTATCTGTGGCCCTGTGAAGAGAATGGTCAGTATTCGGGACACGTCCTGCTGTCGGAGCCTCATAACCTTCAGCTTGCGACGGGCTTTCAATTCACCTGAGGTCGTCGGCCAGTGCTCCGAAAAGAGGCTCATTAGGGGCTCATCCTTACGGCCATTGTGCCAAGACTCCTGGTGGACAGTTGTGGCAGAAGGTGCACTCTGAGCCTTGAACTCAAACGCAGTCACAAACCACTGTCTCAATTAGGTCCTGTCCCGGCACTTCTATGTCAACGAGCCAAGCAACCCTTCGAACAGCCCTTGTTGTGCCAGAACCACGCGCATGGTTTGCACTCCCCTGCAGCACAGGGCCGTGGACAGACCGCTCGGCAGAAGCAAGAACCGAAGCCTGAAGATGCCATTCATTTAGCAAGGATTGTCTTCGTCAATCGCACTTACAAGGGTCACGGAGGGACCTAAACACCTGAGGTAAAACAAGCTTCTCTGCATGGAGGCCCTTGCAAGTTGCAAAGCGGACTGAAAAACGATCCTCATGCCAAAACAGCCTCGCTCTTTGTATTTATCGGCCAGGGCGCCCGTTCCGTGGAGCTCAGAGCCAATAGACCCGAAAATTGTTGTGTTTCGCAACGTTTGGGGCACGCCCGGATATGGAAAAGCTTCGCCAAAGCAAAGCGGTTGCTCGTCATCACCTTGTCCGAAAATTAGGTCTCCACTTCAGCGAAGATCTCAGAGACCGATGCACTCAGGGCTACACTCGACGCCAATCCTGGAGGCAAAGAGATTGCACATGGTGTTGCAGTCCTCGGCTGCGCCCATGCCCCCTCCTTTCTCTGTCCAATCCGTACCCAGTTGGCTCTCTGCCCACAGTTACTGCATCTCCCGCTATCGAATTCGGCCGCCTTCTTGTTCCTTGGATCTAAACGGCTTGCCTCACCTGAAATTGAACCGGCCGATGAACTCCGGATGCTTGAACTCGGTGTCCACATGCTGCCTGCGATTTTGACTGCATATCACAGTGAGGAAAGCTCTAATCTCGAGCTCACCGAAGTCACAAAGACCATCTTAACTCCCAGACTCCGACCGATACCTGCACGCAGCAGTGCTGGCACAGGACTGTGACATCTTCCTACACTATGCAAGCTTTCTTGGCAAGCAACTCTAGTCTGTGCACCTGGATCTGCCCCAACCGTGGGCAACCTCGTGCATGCAAAGCATTAGATCCTTGAATGATCCCTGCTTTGCCTTGCAACGTGCATCTTGTTCTTGCTTCTGGTGTCGCCGTAGCCGCCTGGTCTCGCACACTCCAAGGAGGTTACGTGAGGTTACTCCCCGCAGGTTTGGGAATCAGCTGAAGGAGCTGATGCAGCATCTCGCAAAGACACGAGAACAGCCAAGGCAGATAGCCGCTGTCTATGCGGGCGGATCCGAGAGCCGGCCGCGCCTTGAGCAGGCGTTTGGACATCGGCGGCTCGTGGTCCGAGTTGAGGCGACAGTCCGGAGGCTTCGTCTCCAGAGCTCTGAACATCCAGGAAGCTGGTGCCTTCGTCGCAGAGCTCTGACCGTCTCTGAATCGAAGCTCCGGACGGGCCAGGCAGGCAAGCTGCCCCCGTCTGTCGTGCACATAGACTGTCCGGTCAACACCTGTGTCAGCTTGCTGGCGCTATCTAGGACTAGCGCCATGCACCAACAAACACCGTCTGGAAAAGCAGCAGAGCGAAGAAGAACATGTTCATGCAAAACTCAAGTGAAGTCATACCGCGCAGCCTTGCGGATCTCTGCCATTGCGGTTTCGGTTTCGGATGCGAGCGCTACAGGCACCAAACCTGCAGTAGACCATAAAATGCCTGCGGTAAAGTTTTGTGCATCGGCACATGGAAGTCCAACATGCAAACTGGCGAAGGCAAACGACAACGACTATTACCAAAACAACTCTGGTCCGCCGCTCTCGATACCTTCCGAGAGAAGTTGTGTTCCCATCCTGGCATTGTCGCTCTTGAGGTCCTCATCGTCAGGCTTCTCTTCCTGGAAGTCTCTGGAGCTCCCGGCAGGTTCCAAAAGTGAGCAGTTTGTCAGCTTACGACCCATCCTGCAGTCGGGAAAGTACCTTCCTGGCTTCTGACACATCCTCATCCTGGATGCATACCTGTGCTCATGGCTTTGGCAGGTGCCCTGCACGGATAGCAGAGGCTCGCAGGCCTGCAGGTTCATCTTCATGCATTCGTATTTGACGGAATCGTTGTTGAGGGCCTGCGAATACGCCATGTGATACAGATCAAACAAACTTTGGTCACTGACTCAGTGAGCAGGATTCCAGTCAGCATTTGTTCAAGGCTTCGGCGGCGCCTCGCTGACTGTCAGCACCTCTGCTAGAAGCTCGCGCGCTTCCTTCAATGCCGCCTCCCGGACAAAGGCCGTGGCTGCAATGGCGAAAGTCTGTATGTAGTACGCTTGCAGCCTTTGCCGGCTGAAACGATGCCTTCTCGGCGTCGCTCGCAGGCTCTGGATTCTCGCCGAATCGCATATGAGCCAGCGACATGGCCTTTGCCAGCCGCATCCTGGCAATTGACAGAGGAACCGTCAACATGGCCTGGGACTGGAACATGCAGCATAGTAAGCATAGCGTAGGCTTAGAAATTGAGACGAAGCAAGCTTTGCCCTGGTCTCAACGGAAAGCGGAAAGCTGGCCTAAGTGTTGCCTGCTCCAGCTGCAACTTGCGATCGTCCTTCTTATCCTTGCAGGAGAAGAGATCGATGGGACCCGACCCCGCGTTGCGGATCTCAGGCGCTGGCCATCTCTATCCACTTCAAGCCACGCCTGTAGCGGCCTTGTGGCTGCGCTCCGACGGTCCCCAAGAAGGATCCACGGCTGTTGCCATGCGCCACCGAGGCGGAGGCGTTCTGCGTTGTAGGCATACTTGTGGACCTGCAGCTGTCGAATGCCAGGGCACACGTATCAATATGCGAATGCTTGCTGCATCCTGCCTGCTCTGCGACATGCGCTTCTGCTCCTTTGGAATCCTGCGAGTACCAGAGTTACGAAAGAGTCCCATTGACTTCTTGTCATGGAGAAAATGCAAGCAGCCATATTTTCCCCTTGCTTTGGCATTCAACCCTCTTCTAGGCCTTGTGCGACCCTTGTGCGTGCGCTGCGATTGCTTAGCAGATCGCTCGCCCCGGCTGAGCCGTGCCAAACTTCGAGTTCTGAGTCTTGCTCGAATTAAATGTCGAAGATTGTGTCAATTCCCACACCTTTTGGTGCCCTTTGGGCCTGACACAACTGTGCTAGTAGGAAACGGCCATAGTCATGTCTAGCTGCCCGGTCTTGGAACTTTCCGGTTTGCATCATGGCAGCACTGGAATGTCAACTCTGACCATGAAGCCTCGAAGGACCTCCGGGCAGGCCGAATTACAACTAACAAGAGCTATACGCAGCTATACCTGGGAAAAGGCATCGTCTGGAAGCCTCACTCTTCTTTCCGAACGCGAGCTCAAAGGCTGATCCTGTATCTCATTGCTCTCTCCGGCTGCGGCTCTATTTTCCCGGGCCGGCGAAAGGTAGATTTCCGTGGCATCTTTATCACCTTGACCTCGGCTGCGTGACAATGCTCACCGAAGTGCAGTCTGCAAGAGGGGTTGTGCTGCCTCCTCTCCACAGCTCCCTGGGCACAACCCGATCCAGATCTTTGCCAAGGGTCTCCCTTCTGATTGGAGAGGGGTCCAGGGCACAAATTCTTCAAAGTCCTCTCTAGCCTGCTCATTATCCTGCGGCAGCAGATTAGATGTTGCAGCAGTTCGAACATAAGCCATGGCGGGATTGGGAGCCGGCCCTTTCTGTCTTAGTCGGGAGTCCTCGTCATCCATGTCAAGTTCATCCACCTCAACCTCGCTGCAATCAAGCATCAAGTTCTCACCAGTCAACAAGGACCTCCAAGAGAGAAAGAGAGAGAAAGAGAGAGTTCTAGCCCCTCACTGGGTGCAGTCTGGGGACACCTTGGCCTGCTTGGCCTGGGCCTCGCCCGTTAAGTGACCGGCGCCCGTGGCCGCCCGAACCCTTTCGAGTGCCCGGACGAGGCTGAGGCTGCTCGTTCTCTGCTTTCTCTGCAGCCTCTAAAGGGAAGCCGTAGGTTTTTTCGTGCAGGGAAGAGGGCATGCAGCAGATGTGCCTCGATGTCAGCCTGGATGATCTCATCTAACATCGAAGGCTTTGCCTCGGCCTCGCTGGCGTTCTCCTGGCTTCGTGCTACAGTGTCGAGCATGGATCACCGCTGGCAAGCCGTCCTGCTGGGCGGGATCCAGTTTGTTTCCTGACTGAAGCACATGTCTGCTCTCAGTTCCTACTATGGGTTCGTGGAGGAGCAACAATGCTCTGGTCCGGATCGCACCTTCAGCTGCAGCTTGATCAGCCAAGTTGTTTGTTTCCTCGGCTTGCAAGTCGGAAGAGAAAACCACTCCAAGCCGCAAGCCCCCCGAGCAATTTCTCGCTTGTGCACTTTCATGCCCAGCAGTACGCGTCACAATCAGCGCCTAACGTTGGGCAAGCCACCTGAGCTCCGTTGCGTTTTTTCTTCTTCTTTTTCTTGCCTATCTCCTCCTCGGCGTCACCTTGCCAGCCAAAGGGTGAAGGAGTAAGCGGTGGGCGCTTCATCACGGGCATACATGTGCGCCTTGGAAAGTCAACAGCTGCCCAAGGAACTTCCGGTCCAACTCCTCCAAGTCCTGATGCTGTGCTGCTGACAAGACAATGCCGCAAATCGCTCTATGTGGCCGTTCATGGCACACTGGCGCTGGCAAATCCGTCCTCGTTAGTCAGTTCATTGGCATGAGTAGCGCGCAGACAGTTGTGAATCTGATCCAGGGCGCTAATCGAGGCTTCGACTCACACTCAGAGAGCAAAGCTGCTGGCATCATGGTCTTCTCAAAACTACTTGCACAAAGCCTCGTCTGAAACAAGGGCCATGCCCAGCTGATTCGCCATGATGTAGACGGCCATGATGCAGCAGCTTTGAACAAGTGGCTTCAGGACATTGCCAATGATGAGAATGATGAACACCACCTCATCATTGCAGGAAGATCCCAGATGCGAGCTGTTTCCCTGATTGCTTGCTGAAGCTGCAGCCCAAACCCTTGACAAGTCATAGGGCAAGCAATCCAACCGCATGTCGGAAGTTGGACAGGCCACGAACATCCAGTGATCACCATCTTCTGCACTGGATGTCGCCAGAAACTGGATTATGAAGAACCTTTGTATCTTGTGTCTGGGTCTTGGACAGGTGGGTGGGTGGGGGGCATGATTCCCACACTGCCAATTGTTTGCTACCCACCTATCCAAGCAACTAGAAATCCCTGACTTCTTCAATCTTGACATGCACTGCAGATCAGCGACACGCTCAGAAGGAACCAGAGCTGCATGAAAAACCAGAAGACTCCTCGGCGCTGACAGGAGGACTTTGAACTGTGGAAGGAGGGATCACAAGCGTGCACTGGCCAGTTGTAAACATGGATAAGCCAGTTCTGTCCTGCCTACACTGCATCTTGCAGGGATGAGCCAAGCATCTCCTTTTGAACCAGGAGCAACAGGCCAAAGCTGCCTTGTTCCAGCCAGGGTGAAGAAACCGCTCTCGGCGAATCCACAAAATGGCCTCGTGCTCGGGGTGCTGTCGCAGGGGTTCGTGCACAAACGGCGAGGACTGTTTGCGGCGAGCTGCCGAGTAAGGCAACTCCTGGATGATCACGCATACCAACGCGAGGCAGCTTTCTCGCAAATACCTTGGCACGGTCACAAGACTTTCTAGGAACCCGCTCACGCGTCACAAGCGCTGGCATGTAGAAAATGCATCAACCCACCTCTGCAAAGGATCAGCTGGATGGCACCTGAGACTGAACAACGCACGTGCTGCTCCGCTGCAGCGGCAATGCTTACGCAGATGCGAAGCCGGGACCGGCACTTTCCAGATCGACCTCGGCTGGAAGGCTGGGGCCAGCATGTGCCATGAAATCGGCACCAAGGTCCCAAAGCTCTAGGAATAGATGGCTTACATCTGTGCTTGGGCCGCTGCCGACCTTCCATCCCATGTAAGAGGAGATCAGGCAAGCAGTTGCAGCTGCCGCCAGGCCCTGCACGAGGGTGGCTGCGACCCGCGCCTTGGCACGACGTCTGGAGCTATAGAACTCTGGGGGTGTCTCCCGAAAGCCCCTTTAAAACGAGTCAGCCAAGCTGCTGTTCGGGGAAGGGCATAGTTCGGCATGAACCCCACGGCAAGCCGGATCGACATCACAATTGAAATCCGAGCCTGCTGCCATTGTGGCAGGAGTAGGAACTCCTGCACTGCCTGGAATCGAAGATCAGAGATGTTATGAAAACTGTCATGCATCACAGACACTGCTTTCTGCCTGATGCTTAAGGCGGCTGCAGCCTGGCCCTCTGACTGCAACTCCTCCGATCGAATGTACCGGAAGGCTGCCTGGGCTCCCATGGCGGCAGAGCAACAGGCCCAGGTTCTCCTGGACACCTTGACCTCCTCTGTGCCGCCGAGGATCAGGTTCTAGCCCTGCGAAATAAAACTTCAGGCTGAAACGGGCGCAAAAGCGGGCGAGAACCTCAGCGATCCTGAGTGAAGGCATGTGACTTGTGTAGGGTGGTCCACTGCTAGCGGACAACCTGTGCGCATGCACTTCTTGCCCAGGCACGCCTTTTTCCTGACGAGTGATGAATCTGAATTCGCTGTGCTGGGAAAGCGCATGTAGATGCACTACAGAGCGAGACTGAAGGTGCAGTGTTGTAATTTTGACCCATGTCCTGGCTTCGTCTGCATCGGGCTTCAGCAGCAGCCGCAGTTGTGCTTTCCTTTTGTTGATCTTCTCCTCTTCCTGCTTGTCGGTGATTTGCTCCAGCACCTCGGAAACCAGATCTGCCTTGGTGCCGTAGCGCTCCATCAAGCCTCGGCGACGCGACGGGGTCGGGGTCTCTGAGATGGGATGGTGTGGCATTGTGCCAAGCATGGGTGATGATGATGATGATGACGATGGTGATGACGACCGCATCACCATCATCACTGTTCCCAGACAAGAGAAAAGGGGCCGATAATAATGCAGATGATGCTGGAAAGAAGGGTAGTAGTCTGCGCTTGCGGCTTGACGCCGAACGGCAAGCAATCTTCATGCAAGTTGCTCCTTTTCAAGGCCCCTCCCTCGCCATGGTGCACCTTATTTCGCTGACAAGGCAACGTACTGGCAAACCTCCTACTTTCCCATTTCCATGGTCGAGGTGAAATCCGACAAAACCAGGCAGGAGTCCGAGTTGGCTTCTTTCCGTGCATCACGTATCTGCTCCAACACCTGGTACGACAAAAAACAAGAATGATGTCCTACTTGTATCACTCACGAATGCTTCGCGACTCCGTGATGCTGGCAGCCGGAAGTTTCGGCCAAGGTGCCGGAGATCTGCGGCAGTCGAGCACCCAGGCCAAGAGAATTAGGACCTGAGCATTCCATATGCGTATACACATAACTGCCTGTTTGAATGAACTGGATGGTCTGATGACATAACACCGGTAGGAGGGTAGAAGGAGCAGCGTCCGCAGCAGCACCGATAGCAGTAGCAGCGTCGTGCAGATCTTCCAAGCAGGCTTCACCAATGACCTTCAGCCTTTCACGGACAAGGCCGCCACCGCGGTGATGCCAACGTACACAGCCAAGAAAATAACTCCACCTTCAGCCGCAGTCTACATCAGAACAAATCGTAGTCTGCAGTCCTTATCTTAAGCATGTACTTCCCCCACTCTCGGGGTCTACACCTGACAAAGCTGGTGTTTCAAACGGTCGTGAGGTGCTTTCGAAGGCCATATACATGGCTCAAAGCATTCGTGGCCCTGAGACGAATTTCAGACACAGATGCTGCTCCTGAGATACTGGTCAAACTCCCTTCAACTGAGGGCCCCTTAGACGGGCCCAACTGAGAGATGCCACGATGCTAATAATATCGGCTGGTGATGGTCAGATGGCAGTCATGGCAACGATGG